TCCACCATGGGGGGAGGGGTATGGGAGGAGTGGGGGGAATCCCCAGCGCCTATAAAACTGTACTACATAATACAATGTAAGCAACAATAAAAAGAAAAAAAAATTTTTCATCTGCATTTCCCACATTTTAGCAGGGACCCCGGTACTTGAACAACCACTGATGCCTCCATGGGTGCATTAGAAAGAAGATGATGCAGATGGCATTATGGTAAAGTAGATTAAGCCACCACCTGAGATGCCAGCATCCCATATCGGTGCTAGGTCAAGTCCCAGCTGCCCCCACTGCCTATGCAGCTCCTACTAATGTGCCTGGGAATTCTCATGGGAGACACAGGAGAAGCCCCTAGCTTCTTTCTTCTTTCTAGCTCAGTTCTGACCATTTTAACCATATGGAAAGTGAACCAAGAGATGAGAGTGCTCTCTCCCTCTCTCTCTCTCTCTCTCCATATCTATCTATCTATTTATCTATCTATCTAGATATCGCTCTCTGTGTCTATATATATATATATATATCTCAATCTCTTTATATATACGGAGATTGAGATATATATATATGTATATATGTATATATAAAGAGATTGAGATATTGAGAAAGGGAATATGAAACTGAAAGCTGGACTCAAAAACAGACCCTACTCTCAAACCCAGACACTCTGAGATCACATGAACATAAAAATTTCTAAGACAAAGATACAATCCTTCATTTCACTTAAATTCAACTGGAGCTTTAATACATACCATATTCTATTGTCATTTCACTACATATGACAATATCTATTTCAGTGGTCAGTTCACACCGATATATTGTTCACATTTGAAAGTTAAAACTATTGGCTCTATTAATGCCATGAAGCAAAATATACCTTGAGAACATGATCCATCAGAGGAGCTTGGGCAAATCACCTCAAAACTTAACTAAATAATACTTCACTTATTCCTCACTTACTGGATATCTGAAACTGCTAGAAATGCTACAATGTCTAAAAAACTCTTTCTTTTTGAAGAGGTTTTATATTGAAAATTTTAATTTTCAACTTAATGTTTTGGGAATTATGATTTTTCTTAATGAAGTAGAGGGTAAGTTTTCAACATGATTGTGAATATTAGCAGTTACTACTCAGTTCTTTTCAGTGTAGATAATTTTTCCTAGATGGCAGGGCAAACGCAAACTGTATTCTCAGAGAAATTAATGGGGTGGGTATGAAATGCATCATATAGACTGATATTATTGAAAGTCAATTACTGTATACGGTTACCAATACTTCATTCAAATAGGTGACTTCTGTGTCTCCAAATTAAAAATATGTGCTTGCCCAATTGGATGGTATTCTCTGAGCCAGTGCAAGTCCTAGCCCACTCCACATGCCACACTCTCCAGCACGCTTTCCTCTAAAAAAAAAGTTGGGTATGTCCTTTGTGTAAAACAAATGGCAAAATGCCTGTTGACACTCTTTATAAATTATTCTTCATCTAGCTGAGTAAGGACATACAGCTTTATCCTTGTTTTTTGCTAATTAAAAGGATAGCAGCATATTTTATATCTTTAAAAAGCTTTACAATATTAATGTGTGACTATAACCTTTCTGAATCTTTTACAAATTATTACAGTATTCACTAGACACAGCTCCCCTACAGATAGACAAATGCTGATGAAAGATAATTGAAACATTATGTTATAAGGCTATTCTTTTGTTATTGAAATGAAATGGAGAGTTATACTAATCATTAGGGAGATAATGATTAGAGAAATAATGAGGCCTAAGACTTGTTTTTCCCTTACAAGAAATGGAGGTGTCAGGATACATCCATGCTGGTTGTTAAGAAAAATGTAGCACACTTTGAAATAAATGCCAAACAGAATCCTAAACCTTTTTAAACGATAACTTGAATCCATCCAAGTAAAACTAACCATTGTATTCCTCCTTAAGGAATAGAAATTGTCAAGCATCAGGCCTCCTGGGGAAAAAGGGGGAGGAAATGGGTCCTTGCTGTCAAACTAAATGAGCAACCCAGGTTAGGGGCAGTCATTTGATGACACCTCAGAGACACCCATGTGGGACAGAATGTTCTGAAGATATTACTTTGAATGGTTTTGATAGTTTTGAGATGCCATCAACTTTGTTGCACCAAGTCTGAGAAAAATGCTTCAAAGGTCTATTGGCTGACCAAGCTCACCTTATAGCACATCTATAGGCCGAAACACTTGGTGCAAAACTTGGTCAATCTGTTCTACTTTCCTTTTCTGAGGAGGCACTCAACATCATCTATTGGTCTAGATGAGCTGGACGCCACACATGGATGTGCATCTAGGTATCAGCAACTAACGAAGCCCAGTCCTGATACAGGTTCTCCAAGGAAAGACCACCTATCTTTTGCTTTTCTCTGCCACCAGAGTCTAAGTCCAGCGACCTAATTGGAAAGTCTCCCAAGAAACCCTGCCTAGGGTGACCTTAGACGTGACTCTTAGGTACCCAAGCTAGTGCATGGAGAGGATTAGTTGTTACCTGCACCAGCCAATGTACATATTAATGGATGCAGCTGTCTGTTCAGTTCTGCCCCTTGCCCCATTTCTCATATGAACTGACATTGCAGCCAAGGCCTAGCCCAGCCCAATCTGCCACTGGCCTTGTCTTCACACACATCAGAAGTTGCCATGGTCTAATTTGTCGAACCCCCAGCAAAGCCCACCATGGCCACCCCCAGCTCTGGTTTTTGCATGTTGCAGCATGTAGTAATGCTTTAAATCATAACAGAAATGTACATTTTTTCAGTCTTCCTTGACAGTGGCAAAACCATTACACAAAAATTATAGCATGAGTTTTTCTTATAGAAAACAAAATCTTAGACACACATAGAAAATCATATGTATAAATGTCTATAAACACATCAATGTGTATTAAATTGAATTTCATTTTAATATTTCTTTCATAATTTAGTTGACATATAATTAATTTCTAGCAACAGTTTTGGTCACCTGCATCATGTTGGGAGATACCCAGGACCCTTTCCTGTTTTCTTCTTTCTTTCTTTCTCAAAATCATCATCATTTCTTGTGCACTCATTTTATAACATGAGTTCCCATGGTAATACAATCGTTTGCCAAAAGATAAAGATTTCTATGTGAAGACTCTTCAAATAACTGATGGAAAAGATCCCTTGCTTTCCAAGGATATCCAGAACTACCTTTGTGGAATCCACATGCTCATTACTTTTTTCCTTTTCAAATTGTTGATTGGGTAATTCTGTAGTCTTTGTGACACACACTCCGAGGTCCATGGTTAAATAACTCACATTAGTGTATGGGTAAGGAAGGAATGGAGATAGAGGGTGGGTGGTGAAGACTATCCAAGAGAAAACAAGTTTTAATGCTATGTAACAGAGTGGGAGACTGTACTTCACAATAACCCTTTCAGTATTTCATTGGCATTGGGAAAGAACTCTAAGGTCCAAGCATAAAGCTACAGCAAAGAGAAGAAAGTGTTGATTGATCTGATTGGATCACTAAGTGAAGTTTATAGATACTGATATGTCACACTGTAACTCATATGAGTATGAAACTATCATAGGCAATATTGTTTAAAAAGAGGAAATCTTGTTGTCTTTATAAAAATTAGTTCTGTTTTATTATTTACCTCTGAAACCAAACTGTAAAGAAAAATTTTCCAAAACAGGTAACCTACAATACAGTTACAATGAATTTGATTGTGTGGCGGGCGGGATATCACAGTAGAAAAGTTGGGTTACTTAAAACAAAGAGAAGAATACTGAAAGCAGAAGGATAAGGCATCATCAGTGAAAATCTAGAATAACAAGAAATATATGCACTTTCAGTGTATTTTTAAAGTGTTATATAATTAAAAATGTGTGAACATTTTTTTTGCACATGAAAGCAGAATGACCGACTGAGACAAGACAAATACACTCATCCACTACATCTCATGTTTTATCTCATCCTATAAACATACAAAGTATATGCAAACATTTATATGTAATCCCCAAATATGTCTCATATAAGATAAAGGTAAAGATAAGGTAAGGATGGAAGGAAGGCTGCAATTATAACAGTTTTTTAAGTCTTTCATAAGACCATTTATTCATTTGATTTTCAAATTATTTAAGATTAACATGTTGCTTTCCAAACATGTGATTTTTTGTATGCATACAAATCAAACATTATTTTTCAAAACTGTTTGCAGGTTAAACAGTATTTCTCCAAGTTTCCATGATTACTCAAATTATGAAAGAACTATTTCAATAAATATCAAAAAGAGACCATCAAGTTATGATTCTGTTTTTTCCAATATTTAGTTTTACGAGTTCCCATTTATAAATGTTTAAAATGGACAGAAATTATTTTCACTCTTAAGAAGTAAACATTTATGTTAATTAAAGATATTGTGATTCAACACATTCAGAATTAATCCCCATATATGCCAGCTATCAGTTTTTCATTTTTAATGGGATTGTGGCATTATCAACACTTCTAAAACAAAACACAGGATCATTTGGTGGTTTTACAAAGATTTTGTCAGTTATAAGTTCTAAAAAGAAAAAAAGTATTCTAACGATTAGAGGATACTTCTTTGACTTGGATTTTCCAATGTTCACTGAAAAGGAATATTAAAAATGTGATCTTGCTATATAACAGTCATGTTTCTATTATAAAAAAAAATCATGGGAACCAGAAATTACATCACTCATATGTGGAATTTTGTAGATTTCTGAATAGATCATGAGGAACCTGTTCAAAAGAGTCAAAAATGCAAATATCTTTATGCTAACTGAATAGTATTTGATGACAAATTGTTTAGTGGCAATCAACATAATTTTTGTTACGACTCACAATAATCATCCTACTCTCAAATGCCTTTAAAAATAGGTTAACCAGTACAGTAGCAGAAAAATCAAAGAACACAGACTGCTTTCAACAGCAGCAAGCTGTCTATCGTGGATGGAGTGAAGAACAGATTCCCTTCAGGAGCTGGTCCGGCATTCACTCCCTAGGAAGATCTCTCTTTCCTCTTGGGAAGCGCATCTGCTCTGCCCAGGGGCTCCAGGCCATTCTCCATTCCCTTTCTGCATGTCTTGCTTTTGGACGCGGGTCGCTTCTTCTTGGCGTTGGAGGCCTGCAGCCCTGCATCTTCTGCCCACCTCTGCAACCACACAGTGATCAGAGTCCATGTGATGTAGGCTTGGATGGTACAACTGGAAGACAGCACGGCGATCTTGGCAGCCAGCACGTTCACGTTGCCAGCCAGGGCCTCTGGGTCCCGAGTCTGTGATCCTGCCAGGTGAAACCCCACGGTGAGCACCGACACCACGAGGGTCATCAGTCTCCCCAGGATAAACACGAGGGTCCACAGGGAGACGCCTCGCTGGTACTTCTCGTCGCTGAAGTAGAACATGCCGCACACGTGGGACAGAAGCTCCACCAAGTAGTGCAGCACCAGCAGGAGGAGGCCCAGGTGGTTCAAATACAAGAGGTAAGCTCCGCAAATGTGGAAGAGGTGAAGGCCGATGTAGATGAGCTGGCGGGGGAGGTCCTGCTTTCGGGTTTTCTGGAAATAGAGCTCCGGAAAGCTGTGAAACCAGTAAGCCAACTGCGATATGTAGAAAAACTTCATTTGAAACGTCATCATGTTCTGGGGATGCACCCGCCACAGGAGACTGGGGTCAGACAGGCAGTTTTCAGAGATGAGAATGACTGCGCCCCAGATGCAAGACACCAAGTAGAAGACGCTCAACTGGCCGGATTCGTTAAACTTGCTCTGTCTGGCTTTGGTGAACTGCATTCTCCTGTTTATTTTATCCAAAAGGTACTCCTGGATGGTGGCGTGCACGATGATGGCCACCAGCATGTAGAAGAACACCGTGGCCAGGTCCTTGACCCCATAATGGTACAGGGACCTGGAGCCCCCTGAGGCTGGCTCCCCGGCTGCCGGCACCGTGACCGCATGCTGAAGGGTGAGGAACACGATGGACACTCCTGCCGTGCCCTCGAACATGAGCCCCAGCAGGAAGAACATGCCCACGCAGGAGGCGATGTCCGCGTGATTCTGCAGGATGAACTCTTGGCTCAGCATCGGCGGGTTCTTGCTGCTCTTCTTACGGAGACCCATGCTGGCGCTTCCCGGGTACTCACCGGCGGGGCCGCCTCCTGCGGGCTGCTGCTCCCCGCGCCCCGGCAGACGCAGCTCCCGGGGCTCCACTTCACATCCCGGAGCCCGTCCCGGGTCGCCGCGGCCGCCGGGAGAAGGAGAGACCGCGGCCAGGGCAGAGCGGGCTGAGCATGCGCGCCAGGGCGCGGCCGAGGCGCGGCTGCAAAATGGAGCGGCGCGCCCGACCCGCGGCTGCGAGCGTGGGACTTCCACGCGGCGTGCGGGCGCTGCAGCCCCGCGCCAGGCCCGCGGCTGCGAGCGTGGGACTTCCACGCGGCGTGCGGGCGCTGCAGCCGCGCATCGCGGAGGGGGCTGTGCTGCTCGGCAGGTGCCTGCTTCTGACGGCGTCGGTGGCATCCTTATCCTCACCACAGCGAACTCTCCTGATGCTTTGTGTGCCCGCGCTTTATTTGTGCTCAGAGATTCAACATTCCTGGAAAACCTAATATTGCTTTCATCTCCCAGATGGTATTACTTTCGTATTTATTTGTTCGACTGAATCAACAAGAAATCAAGGTCCCAACAGGTTAAGCAGGATGCTGGAGATTCCGTTTTGGAAAATAGAATAGCCAAGATTCAAGTCCAGCGTGGTTCATTGTAAACCAGTCATGTGGAAATGTTTACTGGCTCAACAAATAATAAGTACTGATAATGGTAATAAATAAAGGCAACAATATCAGCTAGTCAAATATTTGTGTATTGAATGCCTGGGTGAAAATAAGGAGAGACACTTATCAGTTCATAGGAAATGTCTTTTGCTATGAAATCCACAGGTGAATTTCTTCTCTCTGGCAGATAAAAACCATATATTCTTGTGTGGATGGTTTTTGCCTCTGTAACTGGTACATTTCAGTTTGCATTTCACGAGCAGCTTCTTTTAGAAATATTAAATCTTTCTCCACTGAAGATTTATGTCAATATTCAAGTAGCTCTTGGAATGCCCTGAAATTTTGTGTTTCAAGAGCACACAAACAGCTTAGGTATCAAATTTCTTCTGCCCAAGTTAGAAGAAGCAGAACCACAGAATTTGAAGAACAAGGCATAGACAATGTGTAGTTGACCTTTTTTGTCATTTTTCTTTGTGCCATGTAATGATAACAGATGCAGCCCATCTTGTGTTAGTTGAACTCTGATTAGTGAAAGATGATCAGCCTTTCCTGCATCAAGTAACTGAGTATAGAATTTGGGGAACTGTACCTAAGTTAAAAAAAAAAGTGCCTACATAGCTTTCTATGTCTCATCACACAGTGTTTTTAAATTGAAGCATTGATGACACTATTTTCTTAAGTTTTCCAAACTACTGCTCAGTTCTTGATTGTGATGTGTGTGATGACTACAATTTTAGGTTAAATAAGTCATAAAAGAATCAAATGCTTTATTTTGCAAAAAAAAAAAAAAATTAAAACACCAAGGAAAAAATCAAATTCATTTTAAGTAGCCAGGGTCAAACTTTCAAGATGGTGTTTCATGGGGATTGCCAAGGCTCGCTTTAAAAAAGCATGCCTTTAGTTCAGAGGCATTCTCTACAGAATACTGTGTTTCCCCTCTCTGAATTTGTAGCACCAGATGCTACTCTTTATTCTGTTTTTACCTCAAATTCTGTATTAAGTATATTGTAATTATTTGACATTTAGATTTTATATCAATGTTATAATGAACATATACAGCATCAACTTCAAAACATTATTGGAATCTAGAAGTGTATATTTGTAGTATTTCAAATGATGCTTTTATAATTTATTGCTATTTTAATTTTAACATAGCAATGTTAAAAACTAGAACCACCATGATTGTTGAATGTTATAATGTTGCATTCATTTTTTATGCATTGCTCTATGTCAATTTCATGAGAGGGTAATAGTAATTGAACTTTCACCTATATTGTTGATAATTTAACATTGTGTACAAAAGGTGAAATAATTGTTTCAAATACTTCAAACCATGCAATATAGGACTATGATCTCTGAGAAGAAGGTTAGGTCATTGAGATCCGTAATTGCCCTGCGTGTCTGCAGGTATCTTCCAGATCATCACAGAGATGCAAAATACCAGAGGGTCCATGTGCTTCTGCTGAGCTGAGGAAGGCTGAAGCGTTCAGAGAGGCTGAGGCCACCGGCATGAAGAGCAAGATTATTTGTGAAAGAACACATGAAGCTAAAAAGCTCCTGAAATATGAATCAATGCTCATTAAAATACATTGCTAATTTTATATTCTGAATCCATAAGTTTAAAGCACATGATACCAAGCAAAGAATAATATGAATTGTAAATTAAGGAGACTATACAGAAAATAAAATTCTCATTAAGCAGCTGAGGCTCTATGTAGAGACACACAAAAAATTAATCTCGATTAAAATTGCCCTAGAGAAAAATTCATTCCTATCTAAAAAAAGTTTATAAGTATCCTTTAAAAGTTTAAGTTCATTCAGTCCCATTGCCCTATACATAGAACATCTATAATGACTCAGTATACCCCTATGATGACACAAACAACAAACATACACACACACACATATGTATCTTACCTTTTATTCTGCCTTTACTAACTTAACATTATTATTTGTATAAAGATGTCATGCTTAAAAATATTTTGGGGATAGGCATGGTGGCATAACAACCTAATCCTCCACCTGCAGTGCGGACATCCCATTTGAGTAGTATTCCTGTCTTGACTGCTTCACTTCAGGTCCAGCTTTCTGTTTTTGGTCTGGAAAAGAAGGAGAGGATGGCTCAAGTCCTTGGGCTCTTGTATTCACATGAGAGAAGTCCCTGGTTCCTCCTGGCTCATGGCTTTAAATCACTCAAATCTGGCCATTGCTGTCGTCTGAGAGCTGAACCAGTGGAAAGAGGCTCTCTCTCTCTCTTTCTCTCTCTCTTACTCCTTCTTTTGGTAACTCTTTCAAATAAAAATTAATACATCTTTAAAAAAACCTCTTAGACTATGATGGACTATGCCAATCAGTGGATTCTTCAAAGACCTCACAGTGTTTGGAGTGGCAAGATTGGCAGCGATTCATAACTGTTGAACTATCAAAACCACTTGAGTAAGAACCTTGGAGCATACCCTACATGCCGGACCTGGGGAGAGTGGGAAATTGGGTGGGCCTTCTCCCTTAATACCCCCCTTTAAACATGAAGGAAAAATATGGAAATAATAGTCTTATTCACTTTCCTATGGCCCTTGAGCCTTTTTACCCTAATTAACTATGTAAAGATTGTAAACATATAATCATAAAAAAAGAACCACAAAAAATTAAATTGTAATCACCCAAAAGGGATAAAATTGTATTGATTCAAATAATAAAATGACATTGCTTCTATAGAGTGAAAAATACACTAAAAAGTTTGTAGTACATATTACTGCTTCTTATCTCAATATTATTATTCCTTAATAAAATGTTTTGTAATTTAAAATGGAGTAATTTATTAACTAAATTGCATATTCAAATTCTATAATTCAGCACCATTTAAAGTAGGTAAATATGTTGGAAAATGACTACCTTCAAGATAACATAGCCATGTCATTTTAAATTAATATTTTTAATTATCAGTCATAATGACAGAGATCACATAATGCTTAACTCCATTAAATAAACAGTAAATTTTAGATTGTGGACACTTACACAATCTCCTGTGATTTGAAAAGTAAAATTTGTTTGTAATAATGCTAGGGAAGAGATATTATATTTAAACTATTCTTATAATTCAAAAGATCTGAGCAAATATAGGCTTTTAGTAAGAACAGTAGTATGGCTGAGCATTTCATTGAATGACAGAGATGTCACAGCATTTGCAAACCCTACAGTATCTTTCTAAGTTCATGTATTGTGCTGCAGTGGATTAAACCACTGCTTGAGGTACCTACTTCTCATATCAGAGTGCCCGGTGGATTCCTGTTTCTCTGCTTCAGATCCACCATCCTGCAATACAACCTGCATGGAGAGGTTGATAAACCAAGTACTTGAACACGTGCTACTAATGTGGCAGTCTTTGATATAATAACGGGATCCTGGCATTTAGAGAGCAAACCAGTAGAACAATGAACTATCACCCTAACTTCATCTCACTGTGTGTATGTGAAAGAGAGTATGTGTAAGTATTAATTAGATGAAAAAATAAGATTTAATAAGTAAAATAAAATGTCTATTAATGTATTTAATACCACCTAGCAAGTAATAATGATATAAAACACAGTCCAAGGATAAACTCCTAGATCGGGTTAATTGGGCAGGTTTACCACTAAATATAAGAGTTAAAAAATGATATTCTATGTTTCATAATCTAATTTTTCAACTTCTTCCTTTAGCCAATGTGAGATTTGAGTTGGAGAACACCAATGCAAATATATATATATATACAAGAAATAGATTATGCAAAATACTGCAACATAAAGGTGGATAAGAGGATGAAATTAATAAGGATGATATGGCCAGGGAGATCTCTGAACAGCTGTATCTGAACAAAAACTTACATTAGGGGGCCCAACACAATAGCCTAGCAGCTAAAGTCCTCACCTTGACTGAGAAAGGATCTCATGTGGGTGCTGGATCATATCCTGAAGGCCCTTTTCCCATCCAGCTCCCTTCTTGTGTCCTGGGAAACCAGTCGAAAATGCCCCCAAAGCCTTGAAACCCTGCACCTGCATGGGAGACCCAGAAGAAGTTCCAGGCTCCTAGCTTCAGACCAGATCAGCACTGGCTGTTGTGGACACTTGGGGAGTGAATCATCGCATGGAAGATCTTCCTCACTGTACATCTGACATTCTAATAAAATAAAACAAACAAACCCATATCACATCATAGAAAACCATAAAATATTTGATGGAGAACACAGTAAGTCTAAATGCTGAGTCAAAACCCAAGATTGAGCTGCCAGGCATTGTGGCATGGGCAATAAGTCTACAGCTGGAGATGCTGGCATCCCTTGGCATTCGTGTTGCAACTGGCCCACCTTTACTTTAG